ATGGGCAGCTTCACATTGATGCCATTTCAATAGTGACTTATTTCAGTCTACGTACTTTCCAAGAATGTCACCATCTCTAAATAGGAAATAATCCTGCAAGTGAAGAAACCGTTAATTAAGACAACTAATTGCAAATATTTGGCTTCTTTTTAGAATTATTAAGTTTACACACCTTGTCATCTAGAACTACTTTGGTGCCTCCATATTCTGGGAGAAGAACTTTATCTCCAACTTTCACGCTAACTGGTTGAATCTCTCCACCCTTAGGAAAGGAAGGATGTTTATTAGCAAAGACATCTAGTTCACCAAACATATACAGTTAACTTTCACATCACTACAACTAATGAAACATGCTCACCCAAATCCAATTATGTTAAAAATATACTTGGTGGCTAAGTGATACGACTCATACAACTGTAGATCTTCACTCAAAAATACCACTGTAGTTACACTCTGAAATAATAAACACACAGTGGCTTAAACTAAAACCTGACTCCAATGTAAAATTTCAAGAAAATATTCTGGAGAAGCTAACTTTAGTTAACTAAAACTAACTTTATAATTGTTAAATATTAACATAACCAATCAACTATGTGAAATAAACCTGCAACAGTAGCCGGCACTCAGAAAATGCCATATACAAATGGTCATATTTTCCTTCTTTCAACATTTATTTTTCTGGATTTAGAACATAGGCTTCTCTTGTGATTGTTCCCTTTTTTCTGAAGTACAGATTTGGGGAAAGGTACTGCAGCTAAGTGTCCATTCCTCAAGGTCTTCCTATTCCTAATTTTGTGACAGCTCCTGAGTAGAGCTTTCTTTCTTAGAAGCAACTGGAAGAATGCAGTTAACATTATTTGGCTCCAACAGCATTTACTGTGTATTTTGGCTGACACCCTTTAGAAGCCTGAGGTCTAACCAGTTAACTGAGGAACATCTAAAACACAGGTGGTGTCCAATCTTTTGGCTTCCCTAGGCCACACTGGAAGAACTGTGTTGGGCCACACATAAAATACACTAGCATTAACAGTAGCTGATGAACTTTAAATTGCAAAAGAAATCTCAGGTTTTAACAAAGTTTACAGATTTGTGTTGGGTAGCATTCAAAGCTGTCCCAGGCAGCAGGACAAGACTGACCAACCTGTTCTTCGAATAGGTATACCAACTAAGGCCCCAAGTGGTTAAGATTACAGCAGCTTCAATGTGTTAGGGCTTAAACGAACAGTCCAAGTTTCCTCTCAATTTTTAAATGCCCCATCACTTTACCTTAAAGCATATCTTTTTTAGAGGTTTTTTTCTTTTTTCTTTTTTTTTTTTTTTTAGACAGGAGGGCTATGTTGCCCAGGCTGGTTTTGAATAGGTGTAAACCACCACACGCAGCCTCTTTCGTCTTATTAAAAATTTAGAATGTAAGGAAAACACTGATCATACTAGGCTACCAAATTACTATTGAGGACAATTTTTAATACTCCGGAACTATCACATAAAATAAGCATCACAGCACTGATCATATAAAATAGGCAACTTTATATTAGCCATTTCTCACACTGAAAAAAAAAAAGAGTTCCACGGCCGGACACGGTGGCTTACGCCTGTAATAGCAGCACTTTGGAAGGCCGAGGTGGATGGGTCACGAGGTCAGGAGTTTGAGACCAGCTTGGTCAATATGGTGAAACCGTCTCCACTAAAAATACAAAAATTAGCTGGGCGTGGTGGCACGCTCCAGTAGTTCCAGCTACTCCGGACGCTGAGGCAGAAGAATTATTTGAAACCGAGAGATGGAGGTTGCAGTGAGCTGAGATCGCGCCACTGCACTCCAGCCTGGGCGACACAGCGAGACTCCTTCACAAAAAAAAGTTCCACCGCATCCCCCATTTACCTTTCCTTTAGAACCCGATCCAACAGCGACTACTGTTGCTTGCAATACTTTTCCTTGAGATTTTTCTGGAAGCATAATGCCTCCTTTGGTTACAGTTTCAGCAGCACTCCTTTCAACCAATACTCGGTCAAAGAGTGGGAGAAACTTTCTAAACGCCTGTCCTGCCTGTAGGAAGAGAAATGTTTTGAAACAAACAGTAAATGTAATTACATTGTCAATAGGCAACGCCACCATGTTATACATCTCAACACGCTGTGACTTTGAAACTTAACACCAAACCTCATTACTCGTTAAGGAAACGCATTTGAAGGTACTAACCAATATTCCAAGTTTAATTCCCGATTCCTTACGCCTGTTAGGGGTCGTTGTCGCTCCCCCGGTGAGCAACCTGACCAGCTTTAAGGTCAACCTTAGTTTATGCCAAGGTCAAATGTTTTCCTTCTACAGGTTTCTCCGGAAAATTTTCAGGAAACGCTGGGTCAATCTCCCTGCCTGGGACCATGCTTTTCACCCAAGATATTACACACCCAAAAAGGTCCTGCAGAAGCAGGTGGGACGCTGCCCGTGCGTCCCGGTTCTCGCCCCCCCCCCCACCGCCTCACACACCCGCAGCACACGCGCGTGCAACGAGCCCTCGGCGGAGAAAAGGATCGGGCAGGCCTAGACGCTCCAAGGTACCGGCGAGCGGCGGTCACTAAGTGGCCCCCCAACCCCTCCCGGGGGGCCCAACCAAAGAGGGCCGTCCGGGCTTCCCATACGCCTCAGACAGGCCGGGGTCTGCGAGCCTTGTGGCCACATGGGACTCACCATGACTCCCTCAGCCTCAGACTCCTACTCCGCTCTGGCGCAGCGTGGCAAGTAGAGACCCGCGAAACGGCCCTCCCGACACGTGAAAAGGCCGCCCAGCGCGCAGGCGCGCTCGCCCCGGCCCCCGCCGCCGGCCCGTCGCCCCTCCCCACGAGAGAGGGCGGTCGCCCCGAAGCGCGCCGCGATTCGCCCCAAGGGCCCTGCGCAGGCCGCTGACGCGAGGAATGGGAGGCGGAAGGAAAGAGGAGCTGTTTCTAGGCTTTTCCAGGCGCCCAGCCGAGGTGAAAGAACTATCTCATCGTCCCCTCCCGGAAATGACGTGATTTGACCCTTGACCCATAAGGAGCGCGGCACTTTCCGGAAAGTTCTGGAACCGAACGCGGCCCGGGAACTAGCCTAACCCCGCGGTAGAGCGCTGAGCGCGCTGGCCCACACTGCGTGGGTAGGGAGGGGCGGGGCTCGCGCGCCGGGCGTGCAGATTGCAGGGCCCGGCAGACGGGAAGGGGGTGGGAGCCTCCTGCACACGTGGTGCCGCGGGGCGGGGGGAGAGGGGGAGGGAGGGGACACGGGCTCATTGCCGTGTGCGCCTAGCATTCTGTCCCTCACTCGCCGTAGACGACCTGCTTTTCCGCGCGCACGCCCTGCCGCCGCCCCGCAGGTACGAGGCCGCCCCGCGCTGCCTGTCCACTGCGCCTGCGACCCCCCCGAGCGGGCCTTCCTCCGTTGCGTTCCTGCCGGAGGGTGCCTACAACGACAGCCTGCACTTCTGCGCCGCAGGCCCAGGCCCGCGGGTCCAGGCCTCGCGGGTCCATGCGATTCCGTCACGTGCGGCCGGATCTTGGACCCCGGCTGGGCGCAGGAAGGACAGCTTTGATGGGGATGGAATTTGGGGGATTGTAACCACTTAGGCCCGCTGGTGCAGCCTGCGCCCTGCTGACTTCTGGGAACCCGGGAGGGTGGTGTCCGCGAGGAACCGCTTTTTCCCCCCCGCAGGCAGCTGGGATACTGCGATTCCACTCTTGACCTTGCTGGGGGCGTTCGGAAAGAGACACGTGGGCCCGCGCGGAATGGGCTGGGCTGCCGCCCCCAGCATCGCGGCTTTGCTGGCTGCCCTGATACAGTGTAGCCCTGGGTGGATACGTGGAGACACTTTGCTGAGCGGCTTTTTGCACTGTCAGGAATACTTTTAACTTCCCTGGTCACTCGGATTTGTAACTTGTCTTTCTCCGGCTGACTTGGTTTCTTAGGGGCCACCTTTGGAGTGGGTCTGCCGTCAAGACCGTTTTCACGGTGAAAGATTAACTCGTTTTGGGCGGCAAGGATAGGTGGCCGTGGGGAAGGAGTTGCATGTGCTTTGTGCTAGTGCTATAGGTCAGGCGCCGGGGCGGCCTCTTTAGCTTGCGCTAGTGGCTGATGTTCGTAGCTGCGGTGCCTTCCGTCGTCCATGCCTCTCTGGCGGAGGTCAGCCAGGCTCAACATCTCAGGTTGTTTTCTCTGTTGCACAGGTGGACATGTTTTTGCAGCAGAGCACCACGGGTGGTAGTACTGATTATTTATTTGCTTCCATCCCCAGAAATGTTTCGGTTACCCACCGTCTTTCGCCAGATGAGACCGGTTTCCAGGGTCCTGGCTCCTCATCTCACTCGGGCTTACGCCAAAGATGTAAAATTTGGTGCAGATGCCCGAGCCTTAATGCTTCAAGGTGTAGACCTTTTAGCCGATGCCGTAGCTGTTACAATGGGGCCAAAGGTATCAGTATATTTGTTTATTTTATTGTAATTACAGTATTATTAATAGCGTTTTACTCACAAATAGTCGCACTGAACTATTGAACAATACTTTCGTATTGAGATAACCCAGTTTACATGTAAGAGTTGTGAAGTATTGGTTAACCTTTTTTTTCCTTAGACATGATCTTAAAGCTTAAAGTGCTTCAGCCAGTTTCTCAAAACTATTTTGTACGATGCATGATGTAATCGGGTAGTAACTCATAGCTCAAGGTGGATTCTTAAACTCGAGGTAGATTTGCTCGCCTAAGTTAAAATTTGGATCCTTTCCCAGTACTTTATGCCAAGTATGGAGGGAAGAGTTTATCTCCCATAATACCTCAGGTATGTGCTTGTAGGTGCTTTTGTTTGCTTGTTTATTGCAGTAAAATGTACACAACAGAAAATTACCATTAAGTGTGTATTTTGGGGACATTAGTTACATTTATGTGGTGCGATCATCGCCACCATCCATTTCCAAAACTTTTTTATGTTGAGAAATTGTAACTTTGTGCTCATTAAACAGTAGCTTCCCGTTCTCTCCTCCAGCCCAAGATGCTAGTTTTACCTATCGGTTTTCTGCTGTTCTCTTGTTCCAAAGCATATTTAAAATCAGTCTCATTTAATAGGGTTAATATTTTGAGGAGGTCTTTGAAGTGGTGTGCAGTGAAGTGGTGTTCATTTCAGTCTGAAGACAGTTCAGATATTAAGTAATCCAAACAACTGCATAAAATACAACATTTACACACTTCACAAATGGAAAGTAACAGCTTTAGTTCAAATCCAAAAGGTGGCCAATAACTATTTGTGCCATGGTTGAGGTTTTATGTTGAGTGAACCTGGAAGAGCACACTGCTTGCCTTGATGGTCACATTGCTTTCAAAGATAACAGGCACTAACCAAAACTTAATCTCCTAAATTACCTAATTCGAAATTATGCTCTTGGCAGAGAAACAGATCATTTTGTCTGTTGACAAAGAATATTGATAAACTTGCCCTTGAGATTCATGCTGCAAGACTGGTAAAAACGACACAACTTACTTTGATACTTTGAAGTAGTTGCTTTATTATGAAAACTGGTCATTTTTTAACATGTAAATAATCCTCAGGGTGTGTGTGATCCTGTAACTTTTTTTTTCTTCTAGGGAAGAACAGTGATTATTGAGCAAAGCTGGGGAAGTCCCAAAGTAACAAAAGACGGTGTGACTGTTGCAAAGTCAATTGACTTAAAGGATAAATATAAAAATATTGGAGCTAAACTTGTTCAAGATGTTGCCAATAACACAAATGAAGAGGCTGGGGATGGCACTACCACGGCTACTGTACTGGCACGCTCTATTGCCAAGGAAGGCTTCGAGAAGATTAGCAAAGGTGCTAATCCAGTGGAAATCAGGAGAGGTAGGAATGTCTGTTGTCACTACAGTGTTTTAAACTTCAGTATGCTTTAAGGCATTAATTCCTTGGACCTAAGAAAAGCGTTTGTTACTTTAGGAAATTGATCCTTCTCTCATTCCTCCTCTTGGCCTAGAGAAATCTTAAATTGCGTTTTCCTTTAGTAAGTAGTGATTGAATGCCTGGCTGTGTGGTGGGTACTGTTGGGTAATTTTGATGTTTTACTTAGTTGATTTCTTTTGTTTTTAGGGACAGAGTCTTGCTCTGTAGTCCAAGCCAGACTGCACTGGTTCAGTCATAGTTCACTGTAACCTCGAACTCAAGCAGTCATCCTGCCTTAGCCTCCAAGTAGCTGAGACTACGGGCATTCACCACCGTTCCTGGCTAATTTTTAGTTTAGTTTTGTAGAAAGTAAGACTAAATTGAATCAGAAAGTAATGTTTTCCACAATTTATTTTTTCTTAGCACACACTGTGTTATTGGTTTGTGTTTTGTTAGTGCTTGTAACTGGAGTGTAACTTAACAATTTGCTCCTCAGCGTGAGCTTCATGGCAGTATGAAGCTCATAAATTTTAGTCCCATCTTTGTCATTTATTAGCTGTGTGCTAAGACTTGTTTTTGCTATCACCAGAATTGCTATGTATATCTAGAGTATGTTAGCGTTCAAACCTGGAACCCTCTTGAGAGTCAAGGGGGTGGTGCTATTGATAATTTTTTTGTCTGAATTGTCATACTGACATGTTACTACATTACTAATATATCATTACCTCATCTATTTCAATGTTTATGGGTCAAGTGAATACACTGCAGTAACAGCAGTTTTACTGTAAATCACTAACAGATATTGAGGTTAATTAAGGGGACTTCCCAACACCTTGCATTGGATTTTTTTTTTTTTTTTTTTTTAAGTATATTTCTCAAACAGGAGAGCTAGCACTATTCCCAGTTAAGCAAAATGAGACTGTTAGAACTAATGTAAAACAAATATTTTGTTAATAATACATACTAAATTAAGTGAAAGAATTTCAAATAATTGACACCTGTAGAGACATAGTCACAACAAATTTCTATCATTTAAGAACTGTACTTCTTGTTGAAAGTAAGGGAGTGTTAACCATTTTGGCCCTTTTTTCGCATCATCTGACAGACATGAAAAGTGTCAGGGACTGTATTGGAAACGGGCAGCATGATTGGGTTAGGAATGATATGCATAGGATGAGTTCAGTGGAGACTCTTGAAACTATACATATCTACCTTGTTTTAGTCCAAGCATAGGTACATGCCTGTAGTACCAGCTACATGGAAAGCTGAGGTGGGAGGATCACTTGAGCCCAGGATTTCAAGACCGGTTTGGGCAACATAGTGAGACCTTATCTACAAAAATAAAATAAGTCAAGCATGGTGCCTTGAGCCTGTGGTCTCAGCTACTCCCTTGAGTCCAGGATGTCAAGGCTGCAGTGAGCCATGATCTGCGCTACTACACTCCAGCCTGGGCAACAGAGCAAGAGCCTGTCTCAAAAAAAATTTTTTTTAAGTCATTAAAATGTTTGTCATGAATCTCAAGATTTCTACTTGACATAGAAGACATGAGAGAAATAAGCATTGTAGTGACATATATTGTTGAACTAGGTGTGATGTTAGCTGTTGATGCTGTAATTGCCGAACTTAGAAAGCAGTCTAAACCTGTGACCACCCCTGAAGAAATTGCACAGGTAAGGACTTAATATGTTACACTTTTAAAAAAAAAATTAATGGCATGTGTGATTTTTTTTATCTTGATCACACCAATGTCAGAATAACAATATTACCCAATCATCAGTATTAGACTCATTTTTTCTTACTGCTAAAACATTTGAAAAGAATTTTGACCATAATGATTGTCATTTAGATCTACATGTGGTTGTCATTTTAGTTCTACATGGCTGTAAAATGGATCTGTATGGTTGTGAAAATGTCCTTAGCCATTGTCAAAGTTGCATAAGTTTTGTCAGTTTGTAATACCAGATTTGCCATGTAAAAAGATAATGAAGTCAGCATTTTAAAACATAGTGTTAAAAGAATAGTTTTATATATCATATTCCTCAAAACAGTGTAGTCAAATAATGAATCAAAAAAGAGCAAAGAACGAGTACTTCATGAAAACTACCATATTGCAAATTCCCCTTTTCTCCCTGGGATGTAAGTATCAGTTTGGAAGTTACTAGGAAAAGATGAGGGAACTGACTGAGGACACTAGCCTTACCTTTTAATTCAACTTGACTATTTCAGGTTGCTACAATTTCTGCAAATGGAGACAAAGAAATTGGGAATATCATCTCTGATGCAATGAAAAAGGTTGGAAGAAAGGGTGTCATCACAGTAAAGG